AAGGAGGAGAGTATTCTAGGCATTGGGGACAGCCAGAGAAAATGCCCAAAGCTGAGAGATAGGCTGTTTTGTTCATGCCAGGAGGTCAGTGTCACTGGATTGAAGAGTACTTGTTGAGGAGTAAGGTATAAGAAGACTGGAAAGTAGGAGGGAGCTAGGTTATGAAGGTTTTTGAATGTCAAACAGTGCATTTTATATTTGCTCCTGGAGGTAATAGGAAGCCACTAGAGTTTATTGAGTACGGGAGTAGGGAGGAAGTGTGGGAGAGGTGTGTGTGTGTGACATGATCAGACCTGCATTTTAGGAAAATCACTCTAGCAGTTGAATGGAGAATGGATTGGAGTGAGGAGAAATTTGAAGCGGGCAAATACAACGGCAGCTATTACAATAGCCCAAGTGTGGGGTGATAAGGGCTTGTACCAAAGTGGTGGCAGTATCAGAGGAGAGAATGGGGCATATTTAAGAGATGTTGCAAAGGTGAATTCAACAGGTTTTGGCAACAGCTTGGATATTGGGGGTGAGAGATAATGAGGAGTCCAGCATGACTCCTAAATTGTGAGCCTTGAGGGTCAGGGAGGATGATGTTGCCCTTTACAGTAATAGGTGGGGGGGGGAAGGGTTTAGGGGAAAAGGTAATGATTTGTAATTTGGACATACTGAGTTTAAGACGTCTATTGGAATCCATTTAGAAATATCTGAAGGGCAGTTTTGAGAGACAAGATTGGAGATCAGCCGAGGGACTGAGAACGAAAATTTAGATTTGAGCATCATCTGCATAGAGATGGTAATTAAATCCATGAGAGCTGATGAGATCACCGTGGGAAGCAGTATAGAGGGAGAAGAGAATATGGCCCAGGATAAGACCCTGAGGGACACCTATGGTTGGTGGACTTGATTTGGAGGAGGATTCAGCAAAGGAGATAGAGAAGGATCAGTGAGATGGATAGGAAGAAAACCAGGAGAGAGTAGTATCCCAAAAACCTAGAGAGAAGAGAATATCAAGCAGGTGAAAGTGATCAGCAGTCAAAGGATGCAGAGAGATCAAGGAGAATGAGGACTAAGAAAAGGCCACTGGATTTGGCAATTAAGAGATTATTAGCGTCTTAGAGAGGGCAGTTTTGGTGGAAGGGGTTAAGACAGTGAGAGGAAACAAAGTGGAGGCGCCTATTTATTGTAAATGGCCTTTTCAATAAATTTAGCTACAAAGAATGAAAGAGACACAGGATGATAGTTATTGAGGATGGAAGGATTAGCATATTTGTAGGCAGTAGGAAATGAGCCAGCAGAGAAGGAAAGATTGAAGATAAATGATAGAATGGGGATGACAGAGGGAAAATCTGTTGAAAGAGATGGGATGGAATGGGGTCTTTTGAACAGATAGAGGGGTTGGCCTTGATAAGGAGATAAGGGGTAAAGGAGAACAAAGTGGCAGAAGGCCCCTGAGTGATATGAGCTGAGGAAGAGGGGAGCTGAGGGAGTTCAACTGTACTCCAGTGATATTGTGACCAAATAAAACATCTTACAGAAGTGAAACATTTCAGACCTGTTGGAAGCCTTGGGGGCCAACCAGTTGAAATTATACCTGAATGAAATCATGGAAATCAAGTGCATTATAATGATCTGATGCATTTTCTCTTAGGAGAATTTTGTGATCGTGGTTGAATGATAAATCTTTAAAATTTTATAATATTTCTAATTTCATTACTCTAGTATGTCATATTTGAATATGCATATTCTCTTTTCCACAATAAATAAATCAATTCTTGTAACCTGTGGTATAAAAAAGGAAAATGAAAAGAAAATTTGTGTTAATTTGTGTCTGCTCATTGATTACATTAATTGCTTCTAGAGGGATAGGGGATGAGAGGGAGGGTACAGGAGTACATGTTGTAACAAGGTCAAGGGAAAGAGAATATTTATCAGTGTTCCGTTACTTCTGACACAGGCACACCCAAGAGAATATAATCAGCACTTAATAAATGTCTGGTGATTGATTGATGATCACCCAACCGACTAAGCATTCTTTGTGCCAAAGACTGCAACTGGTTGCATAACCCAGCAAAGAAGATGTCCTCAGGGACATATAAAACAGGGGAACACAGACACAAGAACCCAGGGACAGCCACACCAAATGCCAACAGGTTGACCCTGCTGCTCTGCCACAGAGAAGTCATCGGGTTAGAGATTTAGACTTGTAAGGGACATTAGAGACCAGCTCAGTCTAAGTCTTCTTTTTTTTTTTTTAAACAGATCAGCAAATTTAGATTAAAAAAAATTAAATGATTTATCCAAAGTCATTTAAGTAATAGCACTAAGTTTGAATGTGGGGCTTCTTACTGTAAATCCTCACTGTCTTTCTCCTGGCTTCCTTCTTCTCTCCTTTTCTAAGAAAGTCATCTCTGAAACTACTCTCAACAGGTCAACCCAAGGGGATTGTGGCTTCTAGTTGGCAACTTCAAAGTCAGAGAAGTGACCTTGTTTGGGTTATTGCAGCAACTGCTACCTTGTTTTTCCCACAGATCTCAAAGAGACTTTACCTTCTTAATTGGGATAACCACATGCATTCATACTCATTTCATGATTAGTTGTAGCCTCAAGGTCAAAACATTTGACACATCAGCAGATATGCGACTTAAGTTTGCAGGCATGCACCAGTTGTTTTGCGTGAGGTGTATTGACATGTACTAACTGCATCACCTCCCCTTCCGTGCACATATATACACATGTTCTATCTGTCTGTCTATCAATTTAAATACATATCTATCCATGTATATATATCTATGTATGTATATATATATTCATGCATTTAAAGTAAATATTTTGATAGATACATGTATACATCTACCTATATATTTACTTTAACTGCATGAATTTTAACTGGTAATAATAGCTAGAGGGAAGAAGCACTAGATTCTAGTGTTGTGGAAATGCGGGACCAAGCTGTAAACTGCAGTGGAGTATATGGAGTCATAAGAGCTTTAACTAAGGTAGGGTGACTAGGGCTTTGCCTTAGGACACCAAAATGTAGAGTGCATGAAAATTTAAAATATCAGTTCTTTAAAACAAAAATTTAAAAATTTGTGGACTTTATAGGTTGATATCACATTCACTTCTTCAGCAGCATAGGAATAATTGAGCTTAGGACCTATTTAGTAAGAATAATTAGTTAAAATAGGAAGCTACCAGATGGTGCACATTATTATTAACACTTATTTGTGAGCCACTATAGCAATTTCGCTTCCTGCTTTACCAAATTTGCTTTAATTACTTCTTTTATTATTTTTCAAAGCATGATTTATAAAGTTGATTTGAGGACATTTGCCCTGGATATCCTAATTGCACAGAAATTACTCATTATGGCTAATTTATGTTACCTTATCTAAACTGAATCCTCTCTACAGCAAGGCAATACTTTTTAGTCTTCTCTAATTATTGCTTTTTAAAAATATTTAACATTTGTTTCAGTTAACAAAAATCTACTTTCTGTCCTTAACTGATTCTTTATCACACTGTTCATAATGGCTGTTACAAACTCTCCCAAGCTCCCACAGAACCTTCCCCCCCCTTCTCCCCCTCTCCCCCTCTCTGCTGAGGTCCTCCTCTCATTCTTCACCAAGAATATCAAAGCTTTCTGTTACCATCTTCCCCATTTCACAGACTTCTCTTCTCACAATTTGACATTAGCCTGTACTATTTCCTCCTTTGTTCCAATCTCATGAAGAGGTGACTCTCCTTGCTAAGTCAAATCCTTGACCTTGTCCTCTCCTGTCTTCTTTAGCAGATTGGCCCCCCACTCTTAATCATCCCTTTCTCTCTTTATAATCTTCATTCTTTTCCTAACTACTGGTCTTATTCCTACTTCCTTTAAAAATGCACTCATCTTCTCACTCCTTGAAAAACCGTTTCTTGATGTCATCATCCCTAACTATTGCTTTATAACTCTTCTTACTCCCCTTAGTCAAACTCCTTGAGAAGGCCATCTTCAAATGAGGCCTGTATTTGCTGTCTTCATACCCTCTGGTTTCCAGCCTCATCACCTCAACTGAATCTGTGCTTTTGAATCAGTTAGCAAAGTACCTATTATGTGCTAGTCATTGTGCTAAGTGCTGGTAACTCGAGTACAAAGATCGAAACAATCCCTACTTACAAATACCTTATGTTTCAATGAGGGGAGACAAGAAGTACATATACAGTATTCCTGTTTGACATATAAAATTCTTTAAAACTTGTCCTACCCTGTACAGTATTCCCTTCACACGCTGTTGTACAGCCATATTGGCTTACTTGCTGGTCTTCACATATGACACCTCATCTCCCATCTCTGTGCCTTTGTACTGGCTGTTCCCCATACTTACATGTACCTCCTTTTTACAGTTGCCTCTTGGAATCCCCAGTTTCCTTCCAGACTCAGCTCAAATGCCTTCTATTCATTTCTGATACCTCCACATGCAAGCATCCTCCCTCCCCAAACAATCTTGTATAACACATATAGATGCTTTGCATATTCACATGTCGTCTCTCTTGGTAGAATATAAGGTCTTTGCAGACAGGGGCTGTTCCACTAGTGTCTTTTTAGCCCCATTGCATAGCATGTGGCATTGATACTTAATAAACACTGATTAATTGATTAAAAATGAGACAAAAAGCTTTAAATTTGTTTTATGCATTGTACTTGCCTCGGTAAGTCAGTTGACTTGTACACGAGACTTAATGTGGGGCTACATGGGTCCCTTCTTTCTTAATTTAAATTCAGTTTTATGTAATTGGATTGGTATTCTTTAGTTAAAATAACAGGCCTTTTTATAAGAAGATTTCATAACTAATGCAAGTTTACTTACAATAAGGTAAACAATGCTATCCCCAAAATCTCATCTTCTAGCAACTTATTTGCTTTCCTCTGTGTTTAAAGTTCATTTTACTATAAATAAATTCTATTTATATCTACTGATATACATGTGTAGGATTTGGTACAGTAACTCTCTGTTTTTGTTTTCTTGTAGAGAGAAGGACCAGTGTTGTATGCTTGGGATGGACTAATTATTTCTGCGATTATCTCATCTCCCAGAAGATCACTTTCTCCAAAGACACGTTTTCTTTATGAAAGGAAATAAGCAAAATTAAAAAAGAATTATATCATGGAAAGAATTAGCATTGTGCTTGTGTTAAGCAGAAACAAATATTAACTTGGCTTGTTTGGTAAACAGAGCATATATTAGGCAAGTTATTCTGAGTGAAAATGAAAAGAAAACTTTTAAAGGAAGGGCACTTAAAACAAACAAAAAAAGGAAATAACATTTGTGCATTTTAAAACCTGGTACAGTTTTTATATAAAAACCAAGTATAGTCAAGTTCAATTTAATTCAATTCAACAAGTATTTATTAAATGCCTGTTAATGTCCCAGGCACTGCTGGGCCTGTAATGGGAATAGAGTCCCTGCCTTCAGGGAGGTTAAATTCTGCCAGGATTATGAGCTTGGAAGGAGAGTCTTTTAGACTACAGAAATAATAGAGGAATTGTCTTCATGAGCCTAGCCTACGTTAATGTAAAAACAACCTGCTCAGATGTTTAAGGTGGGACCCACAGAGCAAAAGCATCAAAATAGTGTTTGGAGGCTCCACAACCAGCAGTTATTGTATGAAATTTGTGTGTGCAAGTGTCACAAACACACATGTGTTCAATTGCTGATTCTCTCATGAGTGACTGTGACAAGTTTACTTATAGTTCTCATAAAAAAATCGCTTCCATTGTCATGAAAGTTTCATTAAGTTGAGTTGTCTTTTTTCCTGTAGCTCATCACATTCTTTCCCATACTTTTTTTTTTATGAAGCTTGTTCTTCATACAAATACTTCCATTTCAGTTTCTTAGGCACAGATGGTCCTAAGACCATCACAGACACATCTTTTTATTTCCTAATTTTTGTCATTTTTATAGAATCACAGAATGGTAGAGTGAGAAGAGACATTAGGTAACTAAACCAGTCCTCTCATTTTACAGAAGATGAACCCAAGGCTAATGTGATTAAGTGACTTCTATTTGATGCTGTCTAATCATTTTAGTTGTGTCTGGGTGACCCCATTTGGGGTTTTCTTGGCAAAGATATAGGAGTGATTTGCCATTTCCTTCTCCAGCTCATTTTACAGATGAGGAAACCGAGGGTTGCCCAGGGTCACACAGCTAGTAAGTGGCTGAGGCCAGATTTCAACTCAGGAAGAGGAGTCTTCTTCACTCCAGGCCTAGCCTCTATCCACTATGCCACCTAGTTGCCCCTTCTTGTATTTATTTACTCCTATTTTCATGTACGCCCAGGCCTGCCCCTTGTGTCCTTGTTCTCTATTCTTTCATATCCCTTTTTAGTTAAGATCTTTCTTGCATAATTCCTAATGCAAATACTAGCTTTTATAATAACGTATGTGGCTAGTGAAATTTTTTTAATGTAACTTTTTCCATCTCTTGGCTTATTGTTCAATGAGGACAATTCATTAGTTCCTATTTTTGTATTTAAAGTCATACAGGATGAAGAAGTCTTGGCCTCTTGTCATTATATCTAAATAGGATTTCCTCCCTATTCATAGTATAAATTGTAATTATGTCTGGCAAATCAGCATCACTATTGAGGAGAAAATGACCCTTTGGTTGGGACACTGCCATCCCTATCCTATAGAAATCAGCTAATTGCTTCACTACTTGTTTGACGATATCAGCGCTGTCATTTTAAAAACCAGTACCTTTACAATAATTTCCATTGGCATGTGCAATTGTTGCTGAAAAAACCTGCACATGACCGATAGTCTTTTTCAGGGTGTAAATGTGAAGACTGGCTTTTTGTTTTGTGGCCCCAGCTACTATTAACAGATGTTAGTGAAGCATGAGACTGTGCCTTTTCATTTACACTCTTCCCAGAGTCTCCTGTCAGAAAAGATGCCCCATCTCTGAACCTGTGTCCCTGAGTTTCTATCAAAGGCAGATGTGAAATTTAGAAAATATTCCCTTTTGTCCCCTTATCCATACTACTCCTTGCTTCCATTATTATGGATAGTTCAGGGTTTCTTTTCTTTATCCGTTTTTATGAGGTAATCATATGAAAACTAAGGAAAGCCTATTTGAAGCTATTTAAGTAACTCAGATTTTAAAATGATTTGTATTTTTAATTTTACTTTGATGCTGTAGTTTTTTTTAGTAAATGAAAGAGAAAGAGATGGGACAATAGAATCTCACAGGATATGGTGAAGCCCACGACCTATGCTATTCCCTGTGTTAAGTATTGCACCTTTTAAAGCAACATTTCTTAGATAGCTAGAAGTACTGGTTATAAATTACTACTAAATGAGAAAAAAATGTGTTATCTCTTGTCAACAATAATGTGGCTTGTAAAAAATGAAAATCTGAATGTTTATTAGGTTATTTTTGTTGTGTTGTTTCAGCCATGTCTGACACTCTTTGACCCCATTTGGGGTTTTCTTGGCAAAGTCACTGGAGTGGTTTGCCATTTACTTTTCCAGCTCATTTTACAGATGAGGAAACTAAGGCAAACAGGGTGAAGTGATTTGCCCAGGATCACACAGCTAGTAAGTGTCTGAGGACAGATTTGAACGTGGGTCCTCCTATTTCCAGGGCTGCTGCTCTATTCCCTGCGCTGGGTTATAGCATCCATTAAGACTTTGTCTGAGAACATAGCTGTGTAGTTGTCTATTAAGAAATAGCTTTATTTTTCCTTTGACCCGAAGGGTACTGCATTTTGGCAGAAATGATGTTTAATATAAATGCACTGAGTTTTACTTTTCCTGTAGATGTTTGTACGGGATTTATTTTTAACTCTAGTTAGGTGTCAAAGCAGATTAGTTAATGCTATGTTAAACATTATATTCTCCTAAAACAGAGTTTCAATTAGAAAGTATTTCAGTTTCTGTCTTAAATGTAAAGATGATTTTAAATGTCCCCAATGGCTACCAGATATAATGATTATCATTCCCAGAGGGGTACCATCTTCAAACTTGCTCAGCTAAATTCTTTCTAAGTATCATTTTTGCCATCTACATTCTTCATGTTAAGATCTCAATAATGTGCAAGGTTAATTAGAAGAAGGTAATCTTAGCCCATGTTAATCATTCTTCTATTAGAATAAATTAACCTCTTTAGCTCCTGTTTTAGGGAACTCCCTACCTCAGCAGAAAGTATTCTTGAGGCATTGAAGATCCACATATATTTTTGAATGTTTTTGAGTTAAAAAAATATTTTTAGTAATAAAGTTATAACACTTAATCATTCTGGAACTGTTCTTTATGATAAATGAGATAAATCACATTCTGATGTCAGTTTTCCTTAGAGTGGTTATGGAGAAATGAACTCTAAAGTCCAAATACTAGAGGACTCGGTTAAGCCACCAGTGGTAGTCATGCATCCCACACAGGATGCACTACAGGATAAGGGAGGAGTACCTTTCCTAGAACCCCTGTTCTTTTGTTAGGATATAAGATTATATTTAATTGTTAATGTGATATTCTTAGAGGGCTTCTGCCAGGAATTAGATCCACTCCAATCCAACAAATATTTGTTTTTATCTTGGCTTTCTGTCTCCTATCTCCAAGGTTTTTGTCCATTTGCAATGTACAGTGCTAGGCCTGAAAGACAAAATGAAAAACAAAATCCTTGTTTATCAGTTGATTACCTCAAGGGGTTTACAGTTTAAACAGATAAATGTATATATATAATAATAGGAGGAAGAATTAGAAAGTGCTGACAGTTATCAGCAAAGGTTTCCCATGTGAGTAGAGCCATTTGAAAGATTACAAGATTATAGATTTAGAGCTGAAAGGGATCTTGGAAGCCATTTGGTTCAGTCTCTTGACTCTACAGATTAAAAAACTGAAGCCCAGAGAGGAGAAATCACTTGCTCAAGGTCACACAGTGACCTTGTTCAGGTACTCTGATGTCAGATATAATGTGTTTTGCATTGTGCATCGTGTCTTCCTTTTGAAGGAAGCTGAGGATTCCCAGAGATGGAGGTGAGAAGGGAGTGTATTTTAGGTATGGGGTAGATGTCCATAAGGCAAGACTGAAGCTCTGGAGAGAGACTAGATAAGAGTGTGTAGATCTGGAAGTCATCTACATGGAGATGGTAATTGAATTCCTGGGAGGTAATTAATCTGTAAGCAGTAGTTTTACCTACTACATGCCAAGAGGTGATGATGTCTTCTAGACAAAAGGTAGAGAAAGAAAAAAAAAAAGAAGAGGGACTAGTTGGTGCCTTGGGGGATACCTGCATTTAGGGAGTAAAGAGACATGCACGGATGATAATCCAGCAAAGAAAAACAAAAAAATAGCTGACAGGGAGAGGAAACCTGTATCATAAAAACCCAGGTAGGGAAAACTATTCGGGAGGAGGTAGGTGTCCTGTAGAGAAGTAAAGAAAGATAAGCACTGAGAAAAGAACATTTGGACTTAGCAGTTAATAGGTTATTGGTAACCTTGGACAAAGGTTATTACTGAGTAATGATGTTGGGGACAAGATTAAGAAATGAGAGGCAGGGTAGGAAATAGAGTCAGTAAGTGCTATTCCTAAATGCTTTTTTTCAGGGAATTTGGCTATGAAAAGGGAAGCATAATTAAGATCATAGCTCTAGAGCTGGAAGCCACCTTAGAAGACAACTAGTCCAACCTCTTCATTTTACAGTTGGGTAAACTGAGACCTAGAGAGGTTACAGGAATTGCTAAGGTCACTGAAGAGATGAGAGTCAGAGGCAGTAGTCAAGTCCTCTGACTCTAGATCCAGTACTCTTAATTTTTTTTTTAGTTTTAAATAATATTTTATTTTTTCCCAATTACATGTAAAAAAACCCAATTTTTAACATTTGTTTTTTTTAAGTTTACAGTTACAAATTCTTTCCTACCTCCCCTCTCCCCTCCCTAAGTAATCTGATATAGGTTACACCTGTGCAATCATGTAAAATATTTCCATATTAGTCATTTTGTGCAAGAAAACTAAAATAAGAAAGAAACAAAATGAAAAATAGTATGCTTTAGTATACTTAGACATCAGGTTTTGTTTTGTTTTGTTTTGTTTTTTCTGACGGCAGAAAGGATTTTGCATCATGAGTCCTTTGGGTTTATCTTGGATCGTTGTATTGCTGAAAATAGCTAAGTAAGTCATTCACAGTTGAGCATCATACAATATTGCTGTTACTATATACAGTGTTCTCCTGGTTCTGCTTACTTCACTTTGTATCAATTCATGTAAATATTTCCATTTTTTTCCCCTGGAATCATCCTGGTTATCATTTCTTATAGCACAATAATTTTCCATCACAATCACATACCACAACTTGTTTAGCCATTCTCCAATTGATGAGCATCCCCTTCAGTTTCCAATTCTTATCCACCACAAAAAGAGCTGCTATAAATATTGTTATACAAATAGCTTCTTTTCCTTTTTTTTTTTTAAATCTCTTTGGGATACAGATGTAATAGTGGTGTTGCTGAATCAAAGGGTATGCACAGCTTTATAGCCCTTTGGGCTTAGTAACAACTTGTAGAGCTGGTACTCTTTAAAAAAAATTTTTTTAAAATTTTATTGATCTTTTTTTTAAAACATCACTGTCAATTGTGAAAGACTAACCCCACCCCTGCATAGAACACTGCTTTGCAACAAAGGTCAACTATGCAAAATAATTCAACACATTTTTTGACACTATATACCCTATTTCACATCTATAGTTCACCATGCTCTGTGCTGAGAGGAAGGAGGCACATTTTAACTTTCTATATTTTCCTTTTAATGTAGAATATATTTCCATATATATGAAAGTTTTGAGCCATTTTCTCCATATATGTATATATATACACACACACATTTATATGTACAAGTGAGGAGGAGGCATTAGATAAGGATATCAGTGGTGGATTTCCATTCCATGCAAAAATATACCCAAATACCCTCTTCCCCTGGAAACATTAAAGGGAATTGACAACATTGCTAAAATTCATTTTAATGTTTCCAGGGGAAGAGGGCATTTGAATATATCTTTTATGTGGAATACACATTTTAGCTTTCTGAGAGTCATACTCAGTCACTGCATTGATCAGAGTTCTAATATCTTTTTATCTCATTTTCTTACATTGTTGTGGTCATCATGCATATTGTTCTTCTGGTTATGTTCATTTCATTCTGTATCAATTTGTATAAGTCCTCCAAAGTTGTCCAAAAATTCTTCACATTAATTTTTTTTCATACAGTATAATAAATTCATATTACATTTCTATGCCATAGTTTGTTCAGTCGTTCCTGATTTGTTGGGCACCCATTTTGTTTCCAGTTTTTTTCTAGCACAAAAAGTGCTACTACAAATACTTGTGTGTATTTGGACCTTTCCCTCTCTCTTTGAACTTCTTGGCACATATGCCCAGCAGTACTGGGGCAAAGGGTAAGTACAGTTTAGTGACTTTTCTAGTCTGTTGCCAAATTGGTTTTCCAGAATGATTTTCCCAATTCACAGCTTCACTAACTGTGCATTAGGGTGCTTTTTAAAAGTCCATTTTTCAAATAAGCATTCATTCTCTCTCCTTCCCCCTTCCCCTCCCCACCCATTGAAAAAGGAAACCTTCATAACAAATATGTAAGATGAAGCCAAAAATATTCCTACATCAGTCACGTCCAAAAATGTTTATCTCTTTGTGAATTTTAAGTCCATCATCTCACTGTCAGGAGGTGGGTAGCCAGTCTTCTTTCCACTGTGCCATACTCTCTCTAATAGCTTGAGAGGATGGCAGGGTCAAGGGAAGGTTTTTGTTTTTTTAATTTTTAGGATGACACCATTGTCCAGTTAGTTCAGGTTTGATGTTAGGATAAGATGAGGCACTCACAAGTCATTGGACAGTTACCAAAAGAGGTTTAGTTTGCACTAAATCAGCAAGGGTACACAAGGATGCATTTCGCTTTTCTGGACATCTTCCCCCTCCCCCCACCCCCATCTCTCTTCTGGTCGGCAGGGCAAAGTATGGTGACTTGTGTGGTCTGGGACTTTTTCTGTCCTTAGGTGGCCAGGAAGCTGCATCAAGGAAGAAGGGGCCAATCAAGTCTCAGGGCCAGCTTTGTTGCCTTTTAAGGAAAGCCTCTCCCTTTTAGGGGAAAATGTGAACCCTGGTCCTATCACGATAGCCAATACTTATGTAGGTTTGCAAAGCAGTTTGTTTACATTGGAGCCTTATAACAAAGCTATGAAGCAGGTGTTGTTATTATCCACACTTTACAGTTGAGGAAACTGAGACAAGCAGAGATTAAGCTGTTTGCTTAAGATCATCCAACTATTTGTCTGAGGCAGAATTTGAACTCAAGCATTGCTGATCCAAAGCCCTAGCTCTTTATCTATTTTGCCATCTAGCTTGATTGGCAGGGCTAATGCAGATTTAGTTTTGGAAAGGGATGAGACACGAGGGGTCAAGACAGCAAGGGATTTTTGAGAATGGTACATAAATCAAATGATTAACCATAGGGTCAGAATTTTGAGGAAAGGACAGTGGAGCCCCAGCATGAATAATTGCAAGAGTGGAGGTCATGGTTTGGGTGAAGAACAGGTTTGGGAGGAGGAAGGGACGGGATGAGATGGAATGATTAGAAGCTGTGATCAGACAGGAGACTGGACTTGTGACTTCAATGGTATGGGGAACGGCCAGCTTAGGAAGCGCCCTCCACCAATGCAGAGCAACCCTTTCCCTGCAAATTACAACCTTAGAGTTGTATAGAATACTGAGAAGTTAAGTGAGCCAGTATGGGTCACAGGTGAAGCATGAACCCTAGTTTTCTTGACTTTTAAGTCCAACTTTCTATAGACTCTGGTGACTATCCCTTTAGCTATTTGAGGTCAGCAGGGGGAAGGTTTTATAGAACCTTACATCTTATAATCCCAGTGCTTCCCCCCCCCCCATCTTTTATGGGGTGCACCATAAGACTGGAAAATACTGAATAAGGGGCCATCCAGAGAGGTAAAGAGTGTTGTTTTAAAAATCTACCAGCTCAGGTGTGAGTGTCCCTTGCATATTTTGTTTGGTTAAATAAGGCCTTTCGCATATTTAATTTTTTTTGTTATCCTGGAAGACTGCCATTTTCAAGCAGGATTAGACTTGTGCTTGGCCCCAGAGTGCAGAGTTATTATTGGGAAAAGAAGGGGAGACCTTCTTGGCTGGTTTTAAAGGTGAAAACAAAACAAAACAAAACAAGCAAAGGACAATTAGCACCAACAAGAAACTAGCCAATTGATATGGGCATTCATCTTTGGGTCAGGAGTTGGGGGGGGTGTTGCCTCTTGAATCTTGAATCTTGAAATTGGCCTTGGGTTGTTTCCTGAGCCCAGAGGACTGAAAGTGAAATACATAGTCCATCTTCTGTCAGAGAGGTCATGATCTTAAAATTTAGAATGAGGTATGTGTTTTTGGACATCACCAACGTTTGTTTTACTGGACTATGAATATTTGTTATGATGCTTTTTCTTTTTAAAAAATTTTCAAATGAGAAAAGGCAATGGAAAGCAGAGGTAATTAGTGCTTGTAAAAAATAAATGAATAAATTTTAAAAAGAAAAAAAATATATAGATATATTTCTTCTATATAGCTCTGAGCCCCCATTGTG